TTGTACAATTTTGTTTTCAGGTTTTGAGGTATATGCCCAGCCGAGTTGAATCCGTCGCTTGACCTCTCGGTCGAAGTTGGACTTACCTAATCGGACTATTTGTCCCCTGTTGTAACTACCGGCATAGGTTTGACATAGACGTTACACATGTTGTGTGACACTATTGAGGTCATTGAGCGTAGTGCTTAGGTCCTCCAGCGATTCGGCCATAAGGACTATGTCGTGGGCACATCGAGGGTGAGTGATGTACTCGCCATTGATATTAATAACGTATGATTTCCAATCCGGTAGTTTGAAAACGTCTTCCAATGCAGCGGTGAAGGGTTTCGGGGATAAAACGTCACCATGTCCTACACTTCAATTCAGTTTTCGATAGGTTTCGTACTCTGGTTCTGTACTCGGATAGCCATCGTAGCCTTATTGTACAAACACTTCAGCAATTCGATATACCGACATTCAGCTTGGCACCGCTGAAGGACTGCAGCATCGCCGAATTATCGATGGAATTAAAGGCTTTCTCATAGTCTACTTACGCAAGGGTAAATGGCAGATTATACGCTTCGGTCTTCTGTACAATTTGCCGAAGGGTATGTATGTGGTCTATGGTACTTTTCGGCAACCTTTTCGGAAACCGGCTTGTTCGGGAGGCTGGAAAACGTCGAGTCGTCGTCGTGCGTGCGAGACGATTCGGAATGACTCTCGTAAAACAGCACGTATATGCGGCTTAGAGGCGAAATCGGTCTGTAGTTCTTCGATCGGGCGTTGTCACCTTTCTTGAAACATACCTCCAGAGTAGTCCCACCATGAGGACGGAATTAAAGAGCTTCTGAAGGACTTCAAGTACCGGTTTTCCACCGGAAAGAAGCTAAGATGTAACTGTGTCTGCTGTGCTCTACCTTGGGCCTTGCCGTTTTTAAAGAGCTGGAGAGTCATTCAAACTGATGTCCGAGATATTTGGGTATCGGTATTTTTTTGGTGAGTGTAGAGATACGGTAACGGTTTCCTTCGCGATAAACCAGCACTTACACTGTAATAAACAATTTTATTGACGTTGGCGGGGATCAAGCAAGGTTTATTTACTATGCAAATAATATGAGTGGCAAGCGCTTCATAAAATCAAAATCATATTTCATAGTCTTCTCAAAAAAGAGAGAGCATTAGGTGGTAGGACCCCTTTTATAGCTCTACCTTGGAGTCTGTCTGGTGGGTAATCTAATACTCATTTCTGTCGTTTAACACTGATGCTTGTACTTGTGTTGAGTTTCGGTCTGAAAAGTATAGTATGCCAGAATGAATACAGGCTGTGAGGCACTCTACCTTAATCTCCAGGGACGAAAATGCATCTATAGCCTTCTTTATTTGGAGTAGGCTGCAGGTATTGGTGAGTTGCAGTAGTAGTAATATACGTAGTACAGACTTGCTACAGCTATATTATGGTGGTAGCACGGATGGGTCGGTTCGACTGAGGAAGGGACACACTCTCACAGAATACTAGCGTAAAATAACAGCTTAATACTGCTGTGTTGCGTATCGTGAGAGTAGAGATCCGGAGACCCTTTTTTACTGGAAACGAGGCATTCCATCTTAGTCCTCAGGGGTGACAACACATCTCCCAACTAGCACGATAGCGTTAAAATAACCTGATTATCATTCGTATATTGGATTCATTCGAGTATCAAAGAGTTAAGAATACATGTAGCAGCAGAGTTATATACTACTCTAACTCACTTATAACCACGGAAGTGGCCCACGAATTTTACAGGTAAAGGTTATAGAATTCCTGTAGAGCAGTGGTACAGAAGTGTTAAAGTACCTGCACAAGAGTATATATTCATCCTCAGCTACTACTTTAACCGGTATTACTGTGGTTGTAGATGGGTTAGTTATCACTATGGGTCATATAAAAACGTCGGCTGAGAATGATTTATCACTCAAAACTTTATTAGACCTATTAAAAATAGTTGTTTGAAACTTTGACGCGTAATCTATACTTGTAATAAATCTGTAGAGAGGTCAATTCTGTACATGAAATATATTTCCAAAATAACTATCAGGGGGGTGATTAGTGATTGATACTGATGCCAAAAATGCAAACGGTAAAATTTTTGTCTGTCTGTCTATCTGTCTGTCTGTATGTTCGTTATAGAAACAAAAACTACTCGACGGATTTTAACGAAACTTGGTACAATCATTCTTCATACTCCTGTACTTTTCATCACGCTACGATCAATAGGAGCAGAGCAGTGAAGGGAAATGTTGGGGAAACGGGAGAAATTACTCCATTTTTTAAGCTTCCGTCGCGTGTGCAGCCTTATGGTTAAAGCTACACAGAAATCATGTATAACGGAAATGTTCTCCTTAAAATTATTTAAAAAATATCCCACGACAGCATATGTCTATCTTTTATGGTTGACTCACAATAACACGTGTTACTCCCGATAGCTTAGCAGTTCGGAGCTTTCTGATTATATTTGTCTACTCTTACATTTATAACACTCTCACTCATCCCTATTATCTATTCAATAAAAAAGAATTATAGAAATCGGTATAGAAGCACCAAAGTTATACATGAAATACGCTAATAAGCCATCGCACTTGAATACTGAATTATGCTATAAGGATTATTTTTGTTTAACGGTCGCCGCGCTCGACGCGGCTCGCGGCGGGAGGTATAGGCGGGGGGTCCGAGTGCGAGCGAGTCTCTCGATGATCTAGGATCCGACCACCGTCCCGTATCCCTCCTTCTTGGCCATCAGCCAACTCCAACTCCCACTTCCAAACTCTGTGTAGTCTCTAGCCTCGGCTATAGACTCTCCGGACCCTCCCATAAACCTTTCTTCCGACGTCCTCGACAGTACGGGGAAAATAGACACTGCGGTCGAAAATCTCACCTCTCTTATAACATCCTCTCTTAAAGAGAATGAAAAGGTTGTCCCGGTTGCTAAAACTAGTCTTCCCCCAGATATTAGCAACCTACTCAAAGCCAAAAAAGCTGCACACTATCCCAATGCCGAGTATAGACTCGCAGCCCACCGCCTTCAACGTAAACTCCGTTACCGCCTCAAAGACTTCAGAGACCTCGAAAGGGGCAATCTCATGGAGAAAATCTCCCCCTCTCACACAGCGTACTACCAGATGGCGAGAGCCCTCCGGATAGACGCTATCACGCATACTCCCCCTCTGTCTCGTCTCGACGGTTCTATTGCCTTCGAGGACGAAGAAAAGGCTGAGTGCTTCGCCGACAGCGTCGCCGCTCAATGCTCTCCCAGCTCACAACCCACTGACCCCCTACATATCCAACTAGTGGAGGACGAGGTCCGTCGCCGGAACTCGCCCCCACCGCCTCTGACCCTATCACTGTGTCCAAAGATGAGATTTCATCTACCATCAAAGGACTTAAGCCCAAAAAAGCACCGGGTGCGGATGGCATCTCCAACCAAGCCCTCAAACACTTTCCGGAGCAGGTGATCGCCTTACTGGCCATAATCTTCAACGCCTGCTTCGAATTCAGCTACTTGCCCACCTCTTGGAAAGAGGCAACTGTCATTGGCATTCCCAAGCCAGGCAAACCTCACCACCTCCCCCTCCAATCACCGTCACATCAGCATGCTAAGCCCAAAGTTATAAATGAACTTCAAATAGTTCAAAATCTATTCTGTCGTAGGGCCACTAACTCGCCCTATTTTGTCCGTAATGCCGACCTACACCGAGACTTAGAGCTCAACATCAGCAGTTCCTTAAATCAATCTCTGAGAGATTTTCCAAAGCCTCAGAGTCCCACCCAAATCATCACATTTGTGAGACAGCTGCCTATGCAGCCCCTATCCACACTCGCTATAGTGTGCGCAGACCGAGAAATCTCTCTCTGGACGCCCCCCCCCCCCCAACAAGCTTTCGGCTGACCTGAACTGCCTCCTGGCGGCTCAGGCCGAGCCTACATAACACATCCCTTAATCTGCCTTAGTTAGGCACTCGTCTAAGCGGCTTTTCGCCGCTTGCGCCCTCCTTTCTGCCAAGGAGGGTCGCGTTCGTATACAGCTTAGAGATCTCTCGTCAGATCGGTAAGCCAATCCATAAAGGCGGTGTTTAGTGGGTAAAAGTCTCCACATAAGCACGCAGTCGGCTGCGTGGTATGCTATGAGCATTCATCGCCCCCCTCCTCCCTTCCCTGCTTTCCGGAGGGTTGCCCATATTTGCTTCAGGCGCAAAAAAAAGAGTGCGAGCTTCATACCACAGAGTACCTTTGTATAAACTGAAACTTCATGCAATATTGCTGTTGATGCGAATAGACGTTCAGAGTGTTCGACCTTATTGACAGACAATAATTGATTTTAACAAACCGTGCTTATCAGCGCGACTTTTAGTCTACTCTTACGTTTAATAATTTATTTTTAGATTTCTTTGGTTGTTATTTTATAAAATAGGTATTAGTTATTTTGGTAGTGTTTAAATATTTCTCAGTATTAGATTAATTATAAATTAATTTTTTTTTAATTTAGCTGTAGTTTTAAATAGGTACCTAGGTATCAAATAGGTTAATTCTTGACGTAGTTTAGGTACCTACTTATATATTTTTAAGAATTTAATTTTGGATTTAAGGATTTATTTAGGATCCGTTTTATTATTTAAGTAGGCATTTAGATTTTTTAAGTGTATGGTAGCTATAGTTAGGACCTCTAACGTAGATTATTTTGTTGGGTAACTGAATGCCGTCGATTAAAAATAAAATACGAGTACACAAGCCACCTAAAAACGATTATCTTTATCTCGAAATTCGAGAGAAGCTAAGAGAATGAGAAATGTGCGTTCTCAAGAATCGGCAGAGGAAAGAGCACATCGGTTAAACTCTATGAGACTTAGTGCCTCAACTTCTCGAGCCAATGAAAGCTCTCCAGAAAGAGAGATGCGATTAGCAGCTGACAGAGCGAGACGAGCTACATCATGGGCGTCTCAAAGTTCTCCTCAACGAGAGCTAAGGCTTACCATTGACCGAGAACAACATGTGTTATCCCGAGAAGCTGAAACTGCTGCACAACGAGAATTGCGGCTCACAACTGACCGCGAATGGCATACATTATCTCGCGAGTCCAAAACCTACACTGAGAGGGGAATTACGTCTCACAGCTGATCGCGAACGGCATGTACTATTCCGTGAGTCCGAAACCTTCACTGAGAGGGAATTACGTCTCACAGCTGATCGCGAACGGCATGTACTATCCCGTGAGTCCGAAACCTACACTGAGAGGGAATTACGTCTCACAGCTGACCGCGAACGGCATACATTATCTCGTGAGTCCGAAACCTACACTGAGAGGGAATTACGTCTCACAGCTGATCGCGAACGTCATATTTTATCTCGAGAATTTGAAACTTTTACTCAATATGAAGACCGTTTGACAAATGATAGGGTGCACCATAATATTATTCGATCTCTTGATGATGAACATGAGCATGAACAACGACTAGAGTCGGGACGCGAATATTACAATTCTTTGAGACAAGAACGATTAATAAGTTTGTCTAATGAAAGATTAGGAATTAAAAATATTCGGTCTCTTGAAACGGACGAACAGCGAGAGGCCCGTCTAACTGCAGACAGATTTCGACATATCTTAATGACTTAGATGTGCACATAGAAGATCAAGCTACAAATTCGGTGGCGTGGTTCGACAAATATAAAAGTGGGTTTGCTTATAACCTCACAATTGATTACAGATCATCTTCTTTAATAGGCGATATGAACGTAGTATGTTCTTTTTGTAATGCTTCAAAGTGGAGTAAGGAGTCGGCTGTTTTCTGTTGTTCTGGAGGTAAAATAAATTTGCCTTCGTTCGAAGATCCACCGGAACCTTTGAAGTCACTACTTTTAGGGGGTTGCGGTGCAGGAGAAACCGTCTTTATTCCCAGAATTCCCATAATACCAAATAATTTTCCATTCCAATTTAAAAGTACGCAATTCCCAGTATCAGTGCGTTATGCAATGACAATTAATAAGGCTCAAGGGCAGACTTTTCATGTTGCTGGAGTAGATCTCGGTGTCAGTTCTTTCTCGCATGGTCAGTTGTACGTCGCTCTTTCCCGGGTTAGCAGTTCTAGAAATCTTTATGTTCACGTGCCGGACGGGTCAACTTTCAACATAGTTTACCCGAAAGCTTTGCGCTGAAGTATTTTTGTTCTATAAGTACTTAAGCCTCATGTGAACGTGATCTAAACAATATTATCAATATATTAACTTAATAACACACAAAGAGTTACACTCCATCCAAAGCCCAGCGACACTATAACATATATAGGAATGACGTCTTAGCAAAAGTTGTTTAGTCAGATGGGCATTTCCTGTTGACTTAGAAAAATGAAAGATCTAGAACGTCTCGAATCGTCTCGTGAATCACGTTGTTTTCCCGTCCCCGGGCTCTTAGAATTCAACATCAGACGTTTCAGATCTTCGATTTTGACGACCCCGTAGTCGCTGTCGTAAGCAACAGGATCCGCGTACGAAGTCGCGGGCAGAAGCTAGTAATTATCTAAAATAGTCTCAAGTGTCGTTTCAGAAATCCTATAAATGACATAATAAAATTATGCGACAACTAAGAACAGCTCACCGAATGCCGAGACATAATTGACCGAGTTAGTATAAGTAATTATTCAAGTTAAGTAAGTAATGTCGAATTTATGTCGAATTTCGTTGTCTTCTATTAATTTACGGCAGAGTATTTCTTTGCGATATTCGTTTTATATCATTGGCCTATTGAATATTGATTGGCACTATAAAATATTTGCTTATATTTTTACTAATCCATCAAATAGAGATAAAAACTTACATCGAATAACTTAATACTAAAGAATGTTAATGAAATTATTGTTATGCCGATATACACTCAATAAAGATTGTTAATAAAATGTTTCTCTTTTAAGGGGAAATATAACCTCAAATGGCTTAGCAAGATCCTCCGTTATGCCGAAAGTATTGCAGCATTAATTTTGAAATAAATATATGGTAAAGTTGAGGATTAATGTTAAGGTTTATGTTAGACGAAAACACGATTCCGTAAAATTTTCTCGATAGAAAAAAAATCAAAAGTTACCTCCAAACTGAACAATAAACCGCTGTTATTCATAAAATACTTTAAATAAGATCATGAAACTTTGCATACTAACTGAACTAACTATAAAGCAGTGCTTATGTTATTTACTTTTTTTAAAATACCATTATTTTCACTGTAAAAAGAAATTACCTAAACTATCGACGCGTAAGCTTGATTCCTGTCGCTCCGTTAGTATTGCTCCGGCTTTTGAAGGGAGAAGTTGTGTCTCTTACGATTAGAAAACACATTACGCAACAGTAAGACGTAAAATTAAAATGGGAAATAACCGTTATAAAAATAAGAAGCGACTGGGTTGGCGTTAAGAAACAGGCATATATATGATAAACCTAATGAAATAAGTATCTAACGACCTATCTACTTAGAGTATTAGTGATTACAAACATGTCAGTACATAGCATACGATGCGCGGGGAAGTGGGGGCGAAATTAGAATTTGAGCTGACTTACTCTCACCTCTTAATCACAGTTTTCTATACACAGTACCTATGCAGTATAGCAGTTTAGTTAGTTACTTTGTTAAACGTGGCCATTACGGTAAATGATCCCGATAATGGCTGGATATTTTAAGTTTTTGATCCAGCAAGAATAAGTAGGTTCAGTAGCATTATATTTAGTCTTACCAGTTAGTTATTATTAATTTATTCAGCGGTAAACAGATGGCGCTAATTTCAAATTATAACTATGAAAGCCAAAACTCTCAAGTTATGTAAATGAGAATTGATCACATTATCATGAAGTGCTGGACCGCTTCAAATATCGAAATCCATAGTATAAAACAAAGTCGCTTCCCACCGTCTGACGCTTAGATCTTTTAAAAGCTACGCAACGGATTTTGATGAGGTTTTCATCAATAGACAGAATGATTCAAGAGGAAGGTTTATATATTTGTTACATGCATATTATAGTAATCTATAAATATAAAAATCAAATGCTGTCCCATAGTCTCGCTAAAACTCACCGATTTTGATGTAATTTTTTGTATGTATTCAAGTGGGTATGGGTGGTATTCAAGTGGCTGTATGGTTTAGATTTACAAGTTGGTTTAGATTTTATATCCGGTAGGTGGTGCTGTTACCGATATCCAGAAATCTCCCGTGCGAAGGGGTGAATCACTAGTACCGTATAAATGTCAACGTTTGTCAAATTTATCCTCAATCTACAATTGAATCTACGAAGTGAATTCTTGTTTCGCCATAATATCATACGAAAGCACCATCTTCGTATGATATTATGGCGAATATCAGCGGCAGTAGATTAATATGCGGCTGGGGTGATCGTTGGGCTACCTCAAAGCCGCGAACATTTATATATATTATTTAAATGTTCGCGATAAGGCATAGAGTTATGTGGATTCTGTTAAAAATTCTGTTTCTGTTAAAAAAAAAGCACCTTAGGCGCCGCTAGCGGTGAATAGTGAAACTATTTTACGATTTAATTAGAATTTTAAAAGCAGTTTGAAGGTTCGGTGTAGAAGTAAGCGCTCTATTCTGTCGTAGGGCCACTAACTCGCCCTATTATGTCCATAATGCCGACCTACATCGAGACTTAGAGCTCCCAACAATCCAGCAGTTCCTTAAATCACTCTCTGAGAGATTTTTCAAAGCCTCAGAGTCCCACCCAAATCATCTCATTCGTGAGACAGCTGCCTATGCAGCCCCTATCCACACTCGCTATAGTGTGCGCAGACCGAGAAACTCTCTTTCGGACCCCCCCAACAAGCTTTCGGCTGACCTGAACTGCCTCCTGGCGGCTCAGGCCGAGCCTACATAACACATCCCTTAATCTGCCTTAGTTAGGCACTCGTCTAAGCGGCTTTTCGCCGCTTGCGCTCTCCTTTCTGCCAAGGAGGGTCGCGTTCGTATACGGCTTAGAGATCTCTAGACAGATCGTTAAGCCAATTCCTAAAAGGTTGAGTTTAGTGGGTAAAAGTCACCACATAACCACGCAGCCGGCTGCGTGATATGCTATGAGCATTCTCAACCTCCCTCCCCCGCTTTCCGGAGGGTTGCCCATATTTGCTTCGGGCGCAAAAAAAAAAAAAGTAAGCGCTCACACTGTGGCGCTATGGGACCACGGAATCGAATCTCGCACGGAATAAGTGTTTATATGGCCTACAATTAATTGTTCCTGGTCTGGATGTTTTTTTCCTGATATACTCAGGAAAGGGGCCAATGGATTGGCATTTCCTTATAAGAAGAACTTAAAAATAATAGCATTGGATACATACGTACATAAAATATTTGCCCGACAGAGCAAAGTTTATTCGGAGCGACGCAAACTGGCTACGCAATGACATGTTTGCCGGCTTGATTGCGCCGAGAGTGTAGGTAAATTGTGTCGGGCAAACATCGGAACGGGTCTCTCCTTTCAGTCTGCGAATTGAGCATGTTTATATTTTTTTATAGAATAAGGATGACAAACAAGCATACAGACCACCTGATGGTAAGTGGATGCTGTGGTTTATAGACATCTACATTTATATTCAGTTAGGAATTAAAATGCAAATGCGTTGCTACCCCTGATGACTAAAATGGTATGTCTTTTACATTTAACTAAAAATTAACGAAACACAGCAGCATTAAGTTGCTATTTCATGCTGGTATTCTGTAAGAGCGTGGCTATAAAATACCTGCAGCGTGACAGCACATAAGCGAAGAAATTTTAATTAAATTAGTATTATTGCTATTGCAGAATAATGTGATGTTGTTTTCAGCACGTAATAGTCTTCTCCTGTTTATAGGCCTCCTCTTTTCTATAAATAATTTGCTTTTAATTTCACGCTTGACAGAATTGATGAACACAGTATCAGGCTTTTCGCACCTTTGATGACCGATATTTATCGATGTTACTGAAACATCGATGTTGAGCGTGAAAACAATGATGTTTAAACATCGACATTTTATTCCTTAACAGAAAGAAAAAAGGAAACATTTATATGTATTACGGTTATGTACCTACGCTTAGAAAAAAATATTGGGTGCAGTTCACACGCGGTAGAAGGGAAACCTTCAGAAAACTAAACTTCTAGAGTAAGGGTCGAATGCAAAGTGTCAGGAGTAACATTTATTTTATGGTTTTTAATTACTTAAAATATAAATAAATTTATAATAAAAACTGTGTTTTTTATAGAATAAGGGTGACAAGAGTAGTTACGTTGTACCAGTTCTGGCTCACTGAGTCAGAAGTGGTACAAGTACGACGTTCGTCGACTCACGATCCTAAAAAAAAAAGGTTTTGGCATGCTCTGATCACGAATCTGCGATCCATTTTTGCGTAGGATGCACGGTTCCGGAGATGTACAGAACAATTAACTCTTATCTAATTGATATCCGGTGAAGGCCTCCACCATCATTAGCGCTCCTCTGTTCTTATCTACTTATCTATTGTTCATTGAATACCGTCATTATTTATTCTTCCTCAGCGTGGTGCTATTGTATTATACTCCTTTGTTCCTATCTACACTAATCTGACTCATCAATAAAACACATTACCTAATTTTGTTAAAATTTTTATTTACAA